AAAAAAAAAAAAACCAATTGGAGCTGATGATACCGGATGAAAAAGATCTTTAATAGTCAAACAACCAAAAAAAGAGAGTTCAAGGAATAGACTGCCACTTGAGAGAAAACCCATGCAATCTAAGGCTATTGGATCCTGCTAGGATAAAAATCCATCTCTGTATAATCTTAACATTTCTGTTCCAGATTGCTGAGATTTGATACTGAAGCTAACAGACAACCAATACAATAGTTTCTCATTATAATCGGTATTGAATGATTTCATTTTAAAAGCTTTTGTCTTGATCGTCAAGTACATTTGTTCAACCAATTTCAGGTTTTTGCTTTCCCTGAAGCGCTAATTGGTTTCCACCCTGATGCCGGTGCATCCTTCCACCTCTCCCATCTGCCTGGTCGCTTGGGTAACTTCAATACTTTCAAACATATTTGAATTGTTTCAAAATCTTGCACGATGGAAGCAAATTAAGGTTATTTTTAGGGAAGGTAGTGGTGGTAGTTATAATTATTTCATTTTCCAATGCTGCATAACGTTTGTTCATTTCAGTCTATGATAACAGTATCCTCTGACTTGCTTATGGAGTTTGTACGTGCTGTGACTGCTTTTAGATCAAGGGATGAAACTATTGTGCTTTAGTTGTGTTGAACTGTGAAGCGTAGACATTTTATTTTTCTAATGCAAAATCAGAATAACAGTAATACATATTTGAAGTGTTACCTTGTTTGCTTCTTCTGTAAGTGTTTCTTCATAAGTGAGATCTCCTTTTCATTTGTGAAGAATGCTGAATGTCTTTTGGATTTTGGTCTTGAATTGAGAGAATAAACTTTATTTTGAGGCTGGAAATGGATTCCATTTGCTTTCAGCATCATTTCAACTAAAATAGTGATTATTGTGTTCTGATTACATAGGTCATGTTAATATTGCATGGGGGTGTGTCTGGTTACGTGACTTTGGTGCCAAGCATCTGGAGTACCATATGCGGGTATAAGTTAGAGACTAGTATGCGCATATAGAATTGGAGGGGAATAACAAAACAATCTTATGTTGAAAGAGGTCTGAATATAATCAATCACCTTTTTATAAGGATGATTGCAAAGTAATGCTTCTGGTCAAGGCATGAGTTTTGGATTTGCAAAGAAAAATAAAGGATACCTCTTAGCCTTTAAACTGAAGGAGTCTACATCTGTTTTCTATATCTCATCAACCAGATGCTATCTAATAGAAAGGGTGTAATAGTTAGTCGCTGATTTTCTATCAGCCTTTTAACCTTCCCAATCTGCATTAGAGTATATTTCATTCCTTAGTTTTGTTGTTTTCCTAAAACACACTTTTTGTAAAACTTTCCTAGAACTTTAGTCTAACGGATTTGTGTGTTCATTTCTTAAAATGCCTCCAATCTCAAACCAAGCTCCTTCGGTTTTGATCTTGTACTACATTATGGGACAAATTTTGTAGGAGATATAATTATATGCTATCTAGTACAAGCTCCGAGTTCCACCTAATTTTCCATGAGTTTGGGAAACTTGAAATACTCGTAACCCTGGTAATGACGGTAGAATTTACCATGTATGCCGATTCTGCAATGGAACTGAAAGTTTAATTCTCGGAAGTAAACCTTGGTGTGAGCACTGTCAAGAGATAGCTCACACAAATCTCACCTGCGGGAAATCCTTGGGAAATCACATGATTCGCAACCAAACTAGGGATTGACAGATAAATGAGGGAAAATATTTCAATAGTGACTACTATATGTGATGAAGGAACCAAACTACGCCTGTGCTTTGTCAATGTAATTTACTGCAACAGTGATGAATTTTTTCGTGCATCAATAAGAAGTATAAGATATTTGGGGCAGTGAGCTGGTTGGATCCTGATAATGAATAGGTTATTGTTTTCTCAGCATAGCGAAATAAGTTCGAAGTTAGATTCTGAGTTGAATTGAGAAATCAATGACACTTTCATTTACGTTTGATCTGATTGCATTTGCAGGAGAGTACTTAGCACTAACAGGAGAAAAGCTCAAAGGAGAAGAAATGGTTGCTTGTGGGGTTGCAACGCACTATTTTCATAGTTCAGTTAGTTCTTAAATCTTTGGCGTTCTAGTTTAACAGGATCTATTAGATTTTGGCGTCATTTAACTTGTTACTTTCTAATTTCAGAGGCTTTCGCTAATTGAAGAGCACCTACGGAGTTTGGTTACGGATGATGCGTCCGTTATTGAATCTTCATTAGAGAAATATGGTGATCTTGTTTATCCAGATAAAACGAGTGTACTTCACAGGTTCACAAAATTGATTGTTTTCAACTTTGTTTTTGTTTTGTAAAGCCTTTTGAAAATGTCTAACCGCTATTTTATGGACCTGGAACATATGACAACGAGACACTATTTTGCTAGACTAGGCCATTGTAGAATAAAATATTAAAATGTTTATTTAAATTTTAAACACATTTCTATATCTTAACATGTTTGAAGGATTTGATGTAATATGAGGTGTTTTATCTTTTTTACTTTCTATAAGCATTTGTGGGTTGAGCCTCTCTTTTTGTTTGTCTTTTAGAAGTTGCATTTGTCTGTCTCTTCGGCAATAGCTATCTTTCCCCCACCCCTCAGATTTTCCCTATTAATATGGCGTTTAAAGGTGAAGTTAAAACAAAAAGTTGTGCACTTAAAATTTGGTACTGACAAGTTCAGGGAGTGTCCAAGCGTGCTTATGGCTAGTGCATGTGTTCAAGAAAGATAGTCTGCTTAAAAATAGAGTTTGCCTGCTTACAAATAAAGAACATGCTTTTGATCTGATACGTTTGTTTATCTATTTATTTGTTTTGTAGGATTGAAACACTTGATAAATGTTTCAGCCATGACACTGTTGAAGAAATCATTGATTCATTGGTTAGTTCATATTTCTAGATATTTGATCCATATTTGATCCTTTGATTATCTTTTGATTGATGAAAGTTAAGAGTTCATGAAGTGATATTTGAACTTTTGTTAGATGCTTTTTTTCTCAATAAATTTCCTAAAAGAAGTAAGATCATGTATTCTCTTATTTTCAAAACCACCATACTTTCAGGAAACTGAGTCAGCTGGTACAAATGATCCATGGTATACCTCCACTCTAAAACGATTGAAAGAAGCGTCACCATTGAGCATGAAGGTCGCTTTGAAATCTGTATGGCGTCTCTCTCTCTCTCTCTCTCGTTTCCTTCTCTACTCTAGTTTTATTTCCCATTTGGAGTTCAAAGTAGAATCCTCTCCCATAGTTACAGGTTCAAATCATTTTGTCTTCCTCTCCACTCTTCTTATCTGAGGAAAATCTTATCTTTTCCTATTTTTGTCTCCAACTTGACTTATCATAATTATTGAACTTGTTCAGATACGAGAAGGAAGATACCAAACATTCGATCAGTGCTTGACTCGTGAATATAGAATGTCCCTACAAGGGACATCCATGCAGATCTCGGGTGATTTTCGTGAGGTATAAGCCCAATAATCACTACTAGACCTCTAATGTAAGCTGCAAACTCTCCTGATCAGTTCTTTCTTGCAAAACATCAGGGTGTTCGGGCACGGATGGTGGACAAAGACTCATTACCAAAGGTAAGAGATTAAATGATACTTGAGTTTATCATATATCAAACAAACTTCAGTACCTAAATTTGAAATAGAATAACTTAGAACTTCGAGAAAATAATGAACTATTGGTATCTGTCTGTAACATCGTTCTTTTCATCTTAGTTATGTTCTCATATTAGTTATATTCTATTTTGAAATTTCAATTATGTTATTTTGCAAGTTGCAAACCACATCAAACTATGGGTTGTTTCAATCACACATTCCAATTTTCATTTTGATTTATCAACCCCTAAGCTTATAAAATTATTACAATTACACCTTTAAATATTGTGGAATGCACAAACCACGCCTGAACTGTAAGTATTGTTTCAATCAAACACTTGAACTATGAATTCTCATACTTCAATCCCAATTCTTTACATCATTTTTCTGTTTTCTTATACTTAGATGGTGGCTCAACATCTGAAAATCATTTTCTTAATAGTTAATATATAGTTTTCTCAATTTGATGGTACAATTGTAACAACCACTATACTTTGGGTTGGTATTTTCAATTTTCCCTACTTAGTTTACTCTGTCTATTCAAAGTAAAGTAACTAAGCATATAATTTGACCTAATTCTTAATAGTAAAGGCTTTTGTAGATAATATGGGAACAGATTCTTGTGGATTCTTAAAACTGTGTTTGCTTTTGTTATGATGCCAGTGGAATCCTCCTACCTTAGAGCAAGTATCTGAAGATATGGTGAACCAGTATTTCTCTCCACTTAGTGATTTTGAGCCTGAACTTGATCTACCCACCAAACTACGAGAAGCCTTCCCTTGATTTGGCCACATTTTCCTCTTGGAACTATTGATAAGCTCAAAGTATTTTTAGGTCCCTGAATTTTCAATATTTGGATTCAGGTATTGGAGACTCTTACAGGGTTCACCCAAATTTGCTTGCCCAGTGTTATTGATATTGGCATCTCTGCTTGACATGTGTGAATTTATGTTCGAGTTATCTCGATCAACATTCATTCTTGTTAAATAAATTAAAATGCCTTCCCCTTTTGTCTTCTTAGATAGACGAGCCATTAGAATTTGGATTTGAAGTTTCTTACTTTGAAAGTACCTTTCAAGGGTTACTTGAAGAATGTTCTTGGCCTCTTTGTTTGTTTCTCAAGTATGTGCCTAAATTCTTAGGTGGGGTACTGTTAAAGGCGACGTTGAGACCTCTTGCATTATAGTTACGACTATTATACCTTCTTCATTCATTTACTCGTCATCTTCAACTTAGTTTCTCTATATATATGCGTGGTAAGAGAAGTTCGTTCGCTAACATGAACACTCCCCGTGTTCATAGCGTCTTTATTTATTCTTATGAATTGTAGGTTCGAATCTTCATCTTGTAGTTTGTGATGTTATGTTGAAAAAAGAATAGTCTATCGTGTTTTAACCATCTTCCATACCTTTTTGTTGAGTGATTTCAAGATTGCCCTCATCTTAGTTTACTTCGATAGGATCTAATTCATCTCTTTGAGAAAAAAACATGTCTTTTTTTTTTTTTTTTTAATTATTATTATTATTTATTAATTTAGAGATGGAAGTTTAGGACCAATTGTGAATATAAAAGAGATTTATTAAATACGAAATTGAAGGTTGAATGATGTATTAGACATTTTTAAAGTTTAAAAATGTATTAAAATTAAGCTAATGTAGCATTTGTTTTGTCCACTCACCTTTTTTTAATGTTTACTTTTCTTCAAATTAAGACGTTTTCTTACCCTCTAATAATTCAAAAAGTTAATTATAAATAAACAAAGATTAAATTAGTTAATTCACGTGAATTTGAATGTCATGAAAGTCGTAATTATAATGTAACAAATTAACTTTTCAAATCCTTGAAAAGATTTGTTAAGCCATCTTTTCAATCTAATAAAATGTTGTTTTCATATTTATGCATTAAAATGAAATGCAAACCATATGTTAAAATCATATGATTTACTTTGCGTATGACTTTTCGAATGTCACGTTTTTTAAATATTGATTTTCATTAACCCTTTTTGTTCACTAAGATCCAATGGGAATCTTTGAATATATATTATATATATAATGAAAGTCTACGAAAGGAGGATAGTCGGTGAAATAATTGTATGACTTATTTGCAAGCTATGACCCTTTTATTTTCATATAACTTTTATTTTTTTTATTCTTATTATTATTATTATTTAGCATTTATGGTTGAACTCAATTATCCAGGACATCCATTTGAATGGGTATTATTTTTCTAGTCAAAAAGTTATATTTGGAAACTAACCCACAAAGAAAAACACAAAATTATGAATATTTCATGTTTTGGAATGAGTTGGAAAAAGATATGGCATGTGTGCTTTGTTCTTTTGGTCTTTTTATATATATATATATATATATACTTAACCCCTGTTGTATCGTACACGGATTGCATTGTTTTCTACGCTTCATACCTCCCTATTTCTTCTTAAAGTAAGGTGAAGGGGCAGGCATGGTGGGGTACGAGCATTCTGTCGAATTTTTTTTTTGTTTGCCCAATCAGTCTTATTTCCTCTGAGACGCACTACGTTTTAACCGAAAGAACTTCTTGCACAATTCATGTCTATCTGTTTTTATGACCAGAAATTGTTTCTTTCTTTCCATTTCAAATTGTTTTCTGAACTTTTTATCAATATGAGGTGATCATAACCCAATATAGTTGACTCGTGATTCAGGCAATCCAATCTTTGTGTGTAAGGTAGAAGCCCCAAAAATGGGTGATATATACTTATAACATATGTATATATTCATTTAGTTTTAATTATTTTTACAAATGTAAAGATTCATTTCAATAGAGATAATTTTATATTTAATTAGTCTCTTAGGATATATATAGTCAACTAGATAGATAATGTGGTAGAAAAATGAGATTATAAGCTATGAAAATGAAAATTTGTAATGATATATTTTGTTGATTTTTATAACATACAAAATTAAAGTTCGACGATTTAGTTAACAAAAACAAGAGATTATTTTCGAGAGTTATTATATTGCTCGATCTCAATAGATACATAGTTTCTCTAATTTTCTCTCTGTTTTTCAAGTTTACGGGATTTTATCGAAAGCCTTAGAAGTTAGATTTCAAAGAGGTATAACAGGGAAAAATATCGAGATGCCTCAAGGGACCTTGAGGAGGAGTAATCTGGGCGTTGGGGTCGTTTTTTCCGTCAAGAAACAAGGCATATATGAGAGGTAAATCTACGGTTTTTTGCTCACAGTTTCTCCTTAGATATGAGGGCAAATCATTTGTAATAAGTTCTAAAATTATAATATGATAATCTTGGAGAAGATCCTCACAAGTTTCGTGTTAAAACTCGACAAAAAATCAAGTCAGAATCAGAATCAGAGTTTCGAGACACGACAAATCTTCTAAATAAGAACGAAATAAATTTCAAAGTTTAGAAGTAATTATTAAAGTGTTATGATTTTGAATAAATTATAGTAAATTAAATCAATTATTTATTGGTGATTGGACACATAAATATAATAATTTACAATTTTTATTTATAAATAGTTTAATTAATATATGTTCTTCGTGTTCTTATTCCAACAAGATCATACCAAATTCTTAATCATAATCATAACCTATGCTCAACAAATCTCATATAATTATCGTCCATTATCGTATTTCAATTATGAATTTATAAATATAACGGATAAACATCTTTAAAAAAACGAAAATTTTCTTCCGATGATTCCGACGTTCTTCTGTATCTCGAAAAAACGTTTATGCGATAGCTTTAGTATCCTCTTGCATCTCCTAAAATTTTCATATGATGACTCGACATTCTCTTACATCCCCTGAAATTTTTTCTTGATAGCCCCGACATTCTCTTAAAACTTTCATCTGACCGTCCTAAAATTTTCAATATTTATTCTTATTTATGTACCATATTTACCTCCACCCTTAATTTTGGAGGGGCTATAATTCAGCCAAAAAAATGCACTTTACTGAACTTCTCCAAAATGCTAGTACGAATGGAGAATGGAGATAATATTTTTTTATTATAAACTGATGATCATTCCCTAAATTAGCCGAATGAGACTTTCATCCACCGACAAACTATTCGTTCTAATATGGTCTTTCCTTTAAATGGGCAAGACTCTCAAATCTTTTTCGATAATATCTTCATTGCATGGAATGCTACACTCAATTGTACAGCATAAGGGACCTGGTCTTCATTAATTTAACATGAGTACAACTTTCCACCCCGAGACCAAGGTGGTTAACCGGTGCTTAGAGAACTACCTGGGATGCTTTACAAGCGATAGACCAAGGGAATGGGTACGTTGGGTACATGGGCAAAATAGTGGTACAATACCATTTATCATTCGGCAACCAAAGAAAGACCGTTTGAACTGGTATATGGGCGCCCACGACCTCACATTACAATTCGTTCATATAGTTTTCTATATTCGAGCATCGCACTAAATAATTTTTTTTTAATTATTATTAAGAATACTTATTAATTTTTTAAAAAATAATATTTTATTGCACATGGAAAATAATTTAGCAACATTTGAAAAAAAAAATAATTTTTCTAATTTTTGTTGTAAAATGCTTCATTTATTAAATAATAATTATAAACCCACTCTTAATCATTGGGTTATTATAATTTTTAAAGGACAAATTATTTCCAATTTTTCAATTAAAAAATTAAAAAATTTATATTATGGTTGTTGTTGATATGACATGATACATTTTTAAAATAGCTATGTTATTATTTTAATTAAACTAATTTATATTATTAATATATACTTATCATACTAAAAAATAAAAATATATAATAATAATTATAATAATTGCATTAATGCCTAAATATCTGATTTATCCATTATTATTGTATGGAGTTAAGTGAGAGAAGTAAGCAAATTAAAAGTTTGGGTAAAATGGTAATTTTGGTCTTCAAATATGAATTCGAGGTACCTTATTTGAGTCTCCCGACATCCAACCGTGAAAAATTGTTAGCCACATTGTGACGGATTTATTCTTTTCCTTTAAAAAGAGAATTGGTTGGAACGTCGCACCAAATATGAACATAATCTTAGCTACTAACTCTACTTTCTTCGTGGAAAAAACATAGTCAAATTATTTTAGGTGAACCTAATAAACTTAGTCCTTTTTTCTCCTCGAGATTTTAAAACGCTTCTACTAGGGACAAGTTTTCACATTGGAAATGTTTCGTTCCTCTTTCCAACCGATGTGCGATCTCACAATCCACCTCAGTTAGGATCTAACGTCATTGCTGACACACCGCCCGATGACTGATTTTGATATCATTTGTAACAGCCCAAATCCACTGTTAACAAATATTGTCATACGTGGGTTTTCCTTTCCAGGCTTCAAGGCTTTGAAATAGGAAAAGTCAATGATAGAAGATTGGTTTAGGTAATCATCGAGAATTGTTATCTGGTCAAGCTCTTTGACCCATCCAATGACGTAAACTCAAGAGTCTTTGGTTTCTCGGTAGAACCCCATTTTGCTAAGATACAGAAGTTTGCACGAGCTTATGACGTAGTTGGATAATGCAGTTTAGTCAGATTCTTGATTCATATGAACGCTTCTAATAAAAAAACATCGATATTCGTGTGAGTCGAGACATAATGAACAAGAAAAATATAATTAAAAGAAATCGACCACGTCCATAAAAAAACACGAGAAACAAAGCGTCGGTGACGCTGCGAAAAGGTCACAGACAACGCGTTGTTCTCCTAAGATTACTACAATGGGAGTGTTAGCTGTCAGTCACTATATAACTCTCTCTCTCTCTCTCTGACGGTTACTCTCTGACAAACCCATGCGAAACCATACGACGTCGTTGACCTTTCCCAACCAACTCTCCTCATTGGACTGTGACCCACCATCTACGTGGCTTTATCATATCCCTCCTGGCGGCGGCGGCACCTCCATACCCTCCTTGGGCAATCCCGTAATTTCAAAACGCCATTCACGTGGTCAATAAGATTTCGACACGTAGACATCCGTTTCGTACGGGTCATAAGTACCCTACTTCCATACTTCATTTCACACCAATAATAATAATAATAATAAAAACAAAAATAAAAGTAAATTAAAAAAAATATTAATTTTTTAAATCACTTTTTGCATGGAGATACACGTGTGACAGTTGTAGCTCCCTCTCATTATTGGATTTGGTGGTCAATTAAAAATATTAAATTAAACTAAACTTTCATTTATTAATAATAATTA